GGACAGGACAGAAAATACATACAGGATCAATCCTCCACTGGAAGGTAACGTGGCCAATTTAATAATAATGCTTTGTTCTAAACAGCTGCTTTTGTTTAAGGACTGTGGACCTCAAAGCCTCACACCAGTGTGATTTTATGGGTGGGGAAACCAAGGCACAGAAAAGACTGTGTTTCTTGGTTTAGGACTCATAGATCAGTGGTGGAGAAAGCAAAAGAACCCAGTTGTCCTGACTTCAGCTCCCATAGCGTAACCTCTGGATGATGCTTTCTATAAGTCAGCAGCTTTTCTGGTTCTTCTGATTCTTTCCACTGTGCTTAATTTCTAGTAGGGGTGCACCAATAGAGATTTTGGGGCCGATACCGATAGCCAATATTTAAGGAGGCATACTGACTGATACCAATCTGATATCTGATACCGCTGCCATCAGGTGGTAAGTTCAATGCAGTGGAAGAGGAGTGGGGAGAGAAGGAGCATGGGGGTGCAGATCAACACCCCCTGTGGTGAGGGAGGAGGTAGGTACAGGCGCTGCCCAGCCGGGGTGGGGGGGGCGTGGGATGGAGGTGTGGCTCATGGTGGGAGGGCATCTCCCATCATTGCTTGCACCCTGGGAGGGCAGGGGGGCATATGCCTCTGGATGTGCGCAGTGCAGGGTGGGCTGCAGCTGTGGGGTGGAGCCGGAGCTGGGGCTGCACAGCTCTTCTCAGCAGGGGCTGGGCTTAATGTGGGCTCTGATGGCACTGGGAGGAGGCTGCAGCCACCCCAGATTTTGCCACAGCTCAACTTCCAGCCCCACACCACCGCCTGGCACAGCCCTGGCTTTTCCTGGTGCTTGGGTGGAAGTGAGGCATTCAGCTGGGGCTACGCAGGGTGGTAGTGAGGGGCTGGGAGCAGAGCTGCAGCGAAATTTGGGGTGGCTGCAGCCTCCTCCCAGTGACACCAGAGCCTGCTCCGAGCCCAGACTCCAGCGAGAAAAACCCTGCGCAGCACTGGCTCTGGCTACACCTTGCATCTGCAGCCCACCCTGCGCCGCACAGATCTGGGACGCATATGTCCGCCCCCGGGTGCAAGCAGCAGTGAGAGCTGCCCCCACTCCATAAGGTGTGCCTCTGTCCCATGCTCCCCCACCCCAGCTAGGCAGCATTTGTCCCTGCCACCTCCCTCACTGCCCCCTCCACTTCCAACTTACCAGCTAGAAGCAGCTCTCCATGCTGCCAGCTCTGCTCTGTGCTGTGCTGCAGCTGCATGCAGCATGGGCATTTATCAGCTAAATTAGTGGTCCCATCAGGCCAACATCTGATACAGACAATTTTCTTTATATCAGTACCGATCCAATATCATGCTGATGTATCAGTGCACCTCATTTTTCGGGATGGAGATTCCATATCTTCTCTAGATAGCCTCTTCCAATCTTTAACCACCCTCATAGTCAGAAAGTACTTTCTAATATCCAAACTAAATTCCCATTGCTGCAATGACCTCAAACTGCAGTGGAAGAAATTTAGGTTGGAGGAAGAACTTTCTGACTATGAGGATGGCTAAGCAATGGAACAGGCTACCTAGAGAATCTCCTCCATCCCTGGAAATTTTCAGGGGCAGGTTGGACACTTGACTGGGATGGTTTGGTCAACAATGATCCTGCCTTGAACCTCATGAGGTCCCTTCCAGACCTACTTTCCTATGATCCTATCTGAGCTCTCGTTTTGGCCCAAGCTGCTGGCTCTAGTGGGGATACGGAAGGCAATGGAGTACATCTTCTCCCTGCATGACCTCAGCTGGCTGGATGACATCATGCCTGAAACAGACAGGAAGGAGGAAGAAGGAAAACTGCCAAGAAGTCCAGAGGCAGAGGAGAGTGACAGTGAGGAGGTAGGTGAAGAAACAGCATCATGTCCTATCTCCTTGAGCCCAGGCACAGGGGGACTAGTCATCTGGCCTGTCTTCCATTCAGGACTATTTAAGTAGACTGAGCAATGGACTTGATGACAGGGAGTGCCTTAGCCTCTTTTTCAGAGATGCTGAGCTCCACATGACATCAGTGGGAGCTGGAGGTGCTCAGTACCAATGAAAACAGCACAGTCTCAGGGTCTAAGAGAGGCACTGTCTAATAAAAGATCACTTTTGAGGATAAGAAACTTGCCCAAAGTTACACAGTGTCAGAGCTGTGAGCTGAAGTCAGGGCTTTAAGTGCTGCTTGGCTGTGTATATAGCTCCATAGTGTGGTAATACAAGTTAGTCACTCCTCTGTCACAGGGAAACCACCCCCACAAAGCTGCAGGTAAAGCTACTGGAGTTTCTGAGTGAGACTTAGCAGCAAGTTACAAAACAAGCAGAGAATGGGTGTTGGCTCCAAACTGGGTGTGGAGAATGCAGCTGTCTCCCAGTGTAAGTGTTTGAATGAAGCTACATATTCAGTGTCCAGGCTGCTCAGACTGTGATCCTTGCCTTGGCCTCTGCTTCTTTCTTCCAGTCTGAATTAATGTACCTTGAGAAAGGACCAGAAATCAATATCTCTGTGAATTAGAGGAAGTGAGGCTCACCGGTGGGACAAAGTGAAAGGTGAGGGGAAATAATTCATGTGATTCATCTTGTTTGGGAAGTGGCAAGCTCATGGGCCTGTGTGCAGCCAGGGAGCTGTGGGTCTTAAGGACCTCTGGAAATCTGTAGGAGCAAGAAGGTTACTTGTAACAAAAAGAGCTTCTGTCTTACCTCTCCCTGCCTGCCCCCAGCTCCTGGCTACCACCTTGTTCTTCCTGCCAAATTGAATGTTTAGTGTTATCCTGATTCATGAGTAGATAGCTCCTTCAGCTTATGCTGAGACTAACCACAGCCTGTACATATCACCCAACACTGCCTGGGAGGGATGTATGTGTTACCAGGCTCATCTGGAACATTTGGCAGCACAACAATGGATTCTGCTGGACCCAGCATGGCCATCTGGCAGCAGAGTGAGCACAGTCACCTGCTAGCATGGCTGGTTGTGTATAGGGAGCCACCAGCAGCACCACTGTTGTGTTTTGTGTAGTGGCTCTTACCTGGCACAGTGGCACAGTGTATTTGCTGTAGTATTTGGTTGTAGTAGCACAGTGGATTTGCTCCTTGAAGTATATACAGTGCACATAGCAGCAGACAGTTCAGCCACCACTCTTGATGCATCTGTTTCAAGAACCCTTTTCCATTGAAAAGTTGGGCGTGGGCATTGCTGGGATTTGCTGCTGATTTGGTTAGATTCTTCCTGTGATCTGCAGCCACACTGCTGACAGATAAATACCAGGTGCATCTACCAATGTTTACTGCAGAGCTGCCTAATTAGCTCCACAGTAAAGTCTCTGCATCTATACATGCAGCCCTATTATGTCACAGTAAACTAAAATGCAGCTGTACATTAGCACTTGTAAATATAAATACTATCCTGTGGTGGTGTTATTTACTGCACAGCAACACGTGTAGATGCTGACAGGGCTGGTTAGGGAATAAGGGTTCATCAGTGTGGGGACTGCATGCTTGCTAGTCCCACACTGGAGCATCCTTGTGCCCCAGTGAGCCCCTCTGCATCACGTTGAGCCAGGGGGAAGCAGCTCCAGACTGGCAGGTTGACCCTCCCCCCAGGCCTCCTGCCAGCTGGAGCTACTCCAACCTAGTTCAACATACTGCATCCCTGGGCACACATGTATATGTGGTGTCCAAGAGCAATAAACTCCGGTGCTGTATATAATGTGACAGTCATTTCTGCCAGACACACCCAGAACATTGAGTGTATGGCAGGTGAGATCTTTAAATGCACCTGTGTCATTAACCAGCATATCAAGAGAACCAGGGGGACCACGAGCAAATAAGAATACAGGAAAGTGTATGAGGAGAGATTAAACAGGCCAGGACTTTTCAGCTTAGGAAAGAGATGCTTAAGAGGAGACATGATAGATATTTACAAAATATTAAATGGTACAGAGAAAGAATAGGAATTTATTATTTACAATCTCTTACAATATTAGAACTAGGGGACATAAATTAAAACTATTGGAAAGTAGGTTTAAAATTAACAAAGGAAGTTCTTTTTCACACAGTGTGCAATTAACTTGTGTAACTCATTGCCATAAGAATTTGTGGAGGCAGGTAGCTGAACCCAGTTCAAAGGTGGATTAGACCAATTCTTGGAGGAAAGGCTCATTAGAGGTCATTGAACATGGTTGATAGGGGTGCAACCTTGAAGCAGAACTTCTGAAACCTCTGAATGCTGGAAACTGCAGTGGGAGAGAAGCAGGGAGTGGAAAATGCTGAATATACCCCAGTCACCCTCCCCCTCTGCATCCACTCTGCCACTGTGTGAGACAGGACTTGATGGACATATGGTCTGACCCAGTGAATGGCATTTCTTATGTTCTTAGTACCAAAGGTTACATGTATTTGACCATACCCCTAATCACAGCCACTGACACACAGTCACACAAGAAGCACTGGAAAGTAGGGCTGTGTGAAGCTTCAGTCACTGATTCGATTCAGCAGAGATTCAGCCCGATTCAGTGACTGAATCTCCAAATCGAATCAGGAGACCCTTTAATCTCTCTGAATTGAATCAGAACCCTCCGAATCAATTCGAAAAGATTTGGCAATTTGGACATAGACACAGCTTTAAATGTTTTTTCTACATACCTCAAGGTATCAGGAGGCTTGTGAATGCTGTGATGCTGGGGAGGGTGGAACATCTCACAGGAGCGCGGGGGGTGGGGGGGCACCAGCGCGCTTGGCAGCAGACCCAGAAGTGGACTTGAAGCACTTCCAATCCACTTCTGGGTCTGCTGGGGAGCGCGCAGGGCCCGCCCCCCCACGAGCGCGCTTGGCAGCAGACCCAGAAGTGGACTTGAAGCACTTCCAATCCACTTCTGGGTCTGCTGGGGAGCGCGCAGGGCCCGCCCCCCCACGCCCCCTCCGGCTCAGTGACTGGTGCCTCCTGGATCTGTGGGGGTAACCGGGGTCCCCCATGGCCGATCACCGAGCTGGGCGGGGCGTAGGGGGGAGGTGCCCAGCCCGTTCCCCAGCGGACCCGGAAGTACTTCCAATCCACTTCTGGGTTCACCGCTGAGCATGCAGGGGCCACCCCCCACACTTCTGTGGGACGCTCCATCACAGCATTCACAAGCTGCGACTGGTACCTTGAGGTATGTAGAAAAAACATTTAAAGCTGTGTCTGTGGCTGAATCGCAGATTCTCTGAATCAGCATTGAATCTTGAGATATGGATTTGGCCTAATTGAATCAGGGACAGTGATCCAAATCAACAAATTGAATCACTGTCCCTGATTTGGGCCGAATCTGAATCTGAATTGAATAGGGCCTGTTTCGCACACCCCTACTGGAAAGAAGCCCAGGCGGTGCCAGCATATTTAAAAAGTATCAGAAGTAACTGCTAATTCAGGAAGGTCAAGTCTCAGGGTGTGCACACACACACATATCATTTTCCTAAGGGATGACGCTGGAAGCTGCATGGTAGAATAGTAGGAGATGGAGAACTGACACAGAGAGCAGGGCTGGTGAGACTCTGTTGCCAAAAATGTCAAAGTACTCTTGCATGTCACAGCTATTCTTCAGGCAGATGAGGGCAACATTGGAGTCTAGCTCTCTTACTGCCTGGTGGGTAATAAGGACTGTCATAGGGGAGGCAGCATGTAGCCATATCTCCTACAGGAAGGAATCAGCCACTGTTGGGAATGAAGACACCTCCACAGGAAGGAAGAAGAGCAGGATTCTTGGCTTTAGTGTCTCTGTGAGATATGCTGGGGCTTTTTATTTTGTAATTAGAACTGAGCAACAGAACTCAACTGCTAACAGTCTGCTTTATCAGGTTTCTCTCCCAAGCCACAAAGATCACAACACAGAAAAGCAAAGCAGCCTGGGCTCTGTGCTGTCCCCATCTAAATAATTCCTAGCACAGCTCCTCTTGCCACACAGGAGCCTCAAGGGCTCAAGCCACATACTGTCATAGGGGCTTTGCCCACAGATCAAAGACATTTTGCTAACAAACAGTAAAAGTACCAATGTTCTCATGTGATTTCCAACATGGCTTCTCTGTTGGGCAGGGAGTATTTCCTGATGGTCTTGCATATGCAGGAAGAAGGCAGCTTGCATTCTGGGAGAAGGTCTCCAGAGCTCTACTGACATCTCAGGTATCAAGCCCAGCTGGTGCACAGGTGGTTTATAGGAAAGGTGCAACACATGGAATGAATGTACCACGATATTCAATTTTATGAACAAAACAGACAGGTAGTCTCTCTTTCGCACTAACTCTCTTCCATATCTCATGATGCTGGATAGGACAACAGCATTTCCAAATATTTGTTCTTCGTTGTCTGTAATTGGATACCATTAGCTAAACCCTGTTTGCCACTGGGTAGCCCAGAGAATCTAACAATGTATGAAATAGGTGTCCTGTCTATTAAACTGTTATTCCTCTGTCATCTCAATCCCTTGGTTGTAAATTCTCTAGCCTCATTCAATTAAAATGAAACCATGCTTTCTAAACTGATTCACTCATTCCCATTGTATTGTGCACGCAGGGGAATAAGTATTAGTGCCAGGAACAATCTTCTCAGTGAAAGAGTCACACCAAGCATTGTAAGTCTCTAACTGATCCAGAAATAGTCTCGGGCTAAGTATGCTGTCTTGGAGTATCTACAGTGCTAGAAGGTCCAGTTTCTCAAAGAAAATAAAGGAGGGAGGTTAAACTCATGCTCATCTACAACTCATGAAAATCTTTCTATCCAGTGTTTACAGCTCCAGACAGCACCAAGGCATATCTCAAGGGAAAGCCTTTGGATCCTACCTTTCAGGAAAGAAATCCTATAACATCTGTAACTCAGCACAGACATATTCCATGGTCAATAGAAGTGGCTAAAGTTATAGAATTTTACACCCTGGATTGTGGCTTCTTCCTCTCTGATAGGGATGGTGTGCTCATGAACACAATAGCTTTCAGCAAAGATGCTGGGATGTGATGGAATGTGGCATGCTGGGGGCAATAAGTTACATGTCTGTGTTAAAGACAAAAAATCTGCAGCTTGCTCCATTTTATGCTGACCAAAGGCTAAGGATATTTTTACAGCAGGGGTGACCAAGCTGTGGCATGGGCAGCCTCTGCGTGAGGCAGATGATAGATCAAGGAGGGGACAGCCTGCAAGCAGATAGGGTAGGAAACAGAAAGAAGAGCAGAAGATCCAGTAGAGGAAGGGGATTGAAGTGGCACTTGGGGAGAGTGTGGGGCTAATTTGTGGCATAGCTTCCAAAAAAGGTTGGGCTTTGCTGTTTTACAGGAAAAGAAAATCCCTCTGTACTCAGGTGACTGTTTCTTTTGGTTTATTTTTTTCATGCTGTACAATAGGAGTCAGTTCTATATGGAACTGCCCTCCTTTCGCCACATATCTCTATCATATCCTGCTGAGCAGCGAGATAATAGTTTCTGTGGGGGCTGAGTCCTTGCTCCCTCAGGATGGACCCACATCTTCCTGAGGATGGGGCTCTCTCTCACCAATGCTTCTGGGACAGGCTGGGCCCCCCAGGCCCTATCTCCAGAAAGGTATGGGTCCATTTTGAAGGAGCCCACATGAGCTATTCTCATGCTGACACTGCCTAGTAGGACATGATAGAGGTATATGATTAGGGCCTCTCATAGTGTCTTCTATTAAGAAGCAGACCCCTAAAGCAGATTTCAGACTTTGTAGGAACAGGTGAATGGGGCAGGTGTCATCTCTCAAGACTGTTGTTTCAGGCTTTCTGCAGACTGAGGCAGATTACTGCCACATGAATTACACTTAGGTCACATTTTCAAGTTTTTCTTCTCACTTAGAAGGCTTGGAAACATTTTTAAGGGCTTGGGGCCTTGCACACAGCCCTCTAGTGACTATGGCCATTTTTATACATGCTTTGGGACATGGCATCAGGCACTTTAATTAGTGAGCCACAGTAATTAAAAGTGCCTGCACATCACATGTATCAGCATTCCCACACGGAAAAAATGGTGGCAGGGAGCTTTGAACTAAAAGGCATCAAACATGTTTTATTTCAAAGTGCCCCACCACCATTTTTTCAGCACCGAGACATGTGGGGATGCTGATACACGTGATGTGGAAGGCTGCCAAAGCACATCAATTTCCGTGCTCCAGCAAACTCGATTAATCAAGTCTACTCCAATGCGCTAGATTTCCAGTGCATTGGGGCAGGCTCTGCTCATGTCTATAGAAGCCCTATATCCCAAACCAGCCCTGGCAGTGTGAATCTTAATGCTCCCTGGAGGTGTGAAAGCAATTGTGTAATATTGTGGATAAACCTTTTCACTTCCAAAATGTGACCAGCTGGTGCCACTTTTGCTATAGCCATGATGAGGTTGAACATCTGTGCCTACATTCCAGTGGCTTTGGAACTTCCCATGAAATCCAGAGGAAAGTACCTTTTACTCCACACTCTTCCCAGCCATCTTCTGATGAATTTTATTTTCTGCCACATACTTATTTGAATATGTAAAAATAGATTTAATATTTGAGAAAAGCTACAAAAGTTATTGATATCATAACATTCAAGAACATTGAACACTGAACAGTTCTACAGGCCTAGTGAGAGGCAGATTCCCACCTGCACTGGAACTGCATTTGGCACCTCAGTTAAGAGATGGGATGCAGAAGTAACTTTTATACCTCCCTTCATGGTCTCTTCATTCTCGAGGCTGTTAGGATTCAAACCAGGCCTCAGTACAAATTAAGGCAGCCGCAGGATAAATCCAACTTGTCTGGTACTTGAAGTTCACCATAGGATAGCTAACCAGTCCTAGTTGTTCCTTCCCATCTCTGACTAGCCTTCCCAGGCCCCAGAAGATAGGTCATGAAGGACTGGCATTATCAATTCCATCCTACCTGAGGTATTCCCTATCAATGGCTGCCAAAAGGTTTCCTTTGCACTTCTGGAATTTCTCGAAAGATTAAATTAGCTTGTGCAGAACCTGGTTCTGGTTTTGAGCTAGCTCAGGAATCTCTGTGCAGTTGTGCTGCACTACATTGTCCATATACATTATATATAATAGTGGCCCCTATGGTAGTTCCTAGATCAAGATTCTCTCCTGCCTTTGAGAGGAGAGAACAAACTTAAACTCTGAAAGCTCTACAACACTTCTAATTCTGCCTTGTTGAGCTGGGTTCAGTGGAATCAACCCATTCTACGGAAAACACACCAGCCCTGCTTAACTGGTCTTTATTTGGCCTGGATTGCTAAAACATGAAACATTTTGGATTAGAGATATTTTCATATAAAGAACATTGTTACAATTACTTTGTAATGACATTCAGTGGAAAGTTAAGAGTTAATAAAATATTGATGAACAACCTGACAAATTTTTGAACCCAAGACATTTGAAATATGGAGCAGACTGTCCATTTGCCAGTGTTTAAAAATCTGTTTCTTGATCCTGTGAATTGAATAGAAGTGGATGAGAATGTTTCTGAAAATTCCAGACTTTTTCCCCATCCTGCACTGGGGTAAAACTGATATCTTTGAAAGTTTTCGTAAACATTGAACAAGACAGAAATAGACCTACCCACCCATCTCAGAGTATGGGAGTGACTCACCGTAGATTGTGGGTTACTGAGGTTCAAGTATTGCTCCCAATGAGGCACCCTAAAAAATTACATATACTGTATCTCTCTACTGCAGTGTTTCCCAAACTTGATACCTGAGGCACACTTTTTTCTGGATTAAAAGTGGCAGGATGATTCACTTGTACACCCAAAAAAGTGTGTGTGTGTGTGTGTGTGTGTGTGTGTGAGTTCACAGGCTAGATCTGGTCCACAAGCTTGATCTCACCTTGTGGTCAGGGTCTGATTCTGTTGGTGGCAGAAAATGTGGAAATTTGATGTGGCAGAGAAGTAGCAGCAGTGTTAATTGCCACCACTTCCCCACTGCCAGGTTTCCAGATCCATGGGGAGCCCCGCGGTCTGGCTGATATGGCTCTACAGGCCAGATCTAACATTGTTAGGGTGCAGCTCCACAAGATACTTTACTGTGCAGTAGATTAGTCTACTGCTCAGTAACATGTCACTGGCTATAGAAGATTAGTCTACTGCTCAGTAATTTGTCACTGTGCAGTAGACTAAATTTCTGTGCAGTTAACTTGTACCTGTAAATGCAGGTACTAAATGAAGTGTGCAGTAAGTACTGCTCGGTAGCACATGTGTAGATACTGACCGGGAGCAAATTTGCTCCCCGTCAGCTAAACCACAAGGGGGGCAGCTTCCTGCTTGAGCCAGAGTCACAGGGCTGGGAGTTTATCATGCCCATGGCAGGGAAGGCTTTTTACCTGTCCCAGCCTGGCCTTTAGACCCCTCGCCTGACCCTAAGGCCTGTGCCAACTGCTGCCAGCCCCTGGGCGTCGGGTCTTAGAGGTGTGAGTCCATGCTGGCCACAGCAGGCTTGTGATCCCAGCTCTGGCCCCCAGGGCCTGCTCCACCACTTGTATGCCTGCCAGGTACTGTGCCCCTCTGCTGAAGGTATGTGCCAAGCCCTGGAGGCACTTGGAGTCTCTGGCTGAGCCACCAGGGTCTGTCAAAGCATCCATGATGGCAGCCTCACCAGTGCCACAGACAGTGTCCTGGGTCCCCAGCTGAGCAGAGGGAGAGACTGCTGACCTTCCTTCACTGTGGGGCGATGCTGAGGTGCAGATCCAGTGAGGAGGACAAGCCGGGGAAGACACCAGCTGTGACCAACTCCATATCCTCCCCAGAGGGGGCCACTGCCTGGGCAGCCCAGGAGCCATGCCTCTGTGCCCTGAGGCACTGTCAGCAAGCCACACCACATTGCTGCCTGCAGGGACAGACTTGGGACACCAGGACTGCCTGCCATCCCCATCCGGTAAGCCCCACACAGAGAGGAGGGCCAGGGAGGCAAGGGAGTGCTATGGCCACCTGTGCCCACGCCAGCTCTTCTGCCCACCCCTGGGCTGCATACCTGGCCCCCCCACCCTGCTTGGCCTGGCTTCTGGAGTTCCCCCCCAACAACACACAGAGAGGCAGGAACTAGTGCAGAACTTCAGTGAGCAACCAGTGTCCTCCCAGCTGGGCATCCAGAGACCTGTCACATGCAGAGAAACTTGTTAATGGCAGTGGCAATCTCCTCCTTGGCTGCAGGCATCAGGCTTGTAGTGTACCCCTCCAGGTGGTGGCACACATTGCAGAGAAGCTCAGGCTTGCCTGGGGCACCATCAAAGCTCAGGGTCCTGCACCAGGTTCTTAGGTGCACCAAATCATGGCAATCAGCAGCAACAAGGAGTAGTGAGTTGGGCACCCCTTGGTGTGCTCAAACAGCTCATTGCTGAGCACCTGGGGGACTCTCAGCAGGTGTATGCTCAGGATGCAAGCCACATGCCATGGGGGCCACTCCAGAGAGGCCTAACAAGAAGGGAGGACAGGGGCTAAGCGGGCTACCTGGCCCCATGGAGAGAGTGGGGATGGAGGGTTCAGCTGGTGGCTGCCTTTGGCAGGGGCCTCCTGGTCAATTTACCATGGTGCCTGGGCTCCATTGTGCACGTGACCCCCGGTTTGAGGCCAGGTGATGCACAGCCCCCTCAGTATAGTGCATGTTATCTCTGAAATGTTGCAAACTCTCACAAAGACCCTCTTTGCCCTTGCTCTGCAGATCCAGCAGCTGCACATGGGGTAGAGTCACCAGTTGCTGCTGGAGATGCACCTTCAGGGACACCACCACTATCCACCACCAGCGCCCTCCGCATGTTCTGCCTCTGCCAGTGGTGCATGCCAGATTGCATCTTCCTGCTGGACCAGTTAGTCACTGTGGCAGAGGAGTGGCTGGTAGACACACAGGCCTTGTGCACCCAGGATGTGGAGCGCAAGTGGGAGAGGGATCAAAAGGATCATGCCTTCTGGGACAGGCTCCTCAACCTCAAGAAGAGGCTCTCCTCAAGCGGTTGCTGGAGGCACAGGAATGGTAGGCTGCTGTAGTAGCCTGGGCAGTGGAAGCCACGGAGGAGGACCGCCAGGTACTGGACCCCATAGTAGCCTTGGCAGTTACCTTCATAGTTTCATAGTTTCATAATTGGTAGGGTTGGAAGGGACCTGAGCAGATCATCAAGTCTGACCCCCTGCCATGGGCAGGAAAGAATGCTGGGGTCAGGTGATTATCTAGGTGATTATCTAGCCTCCTTTTGAAGACCCGCAGGGTAGGAGCAAGCACCACTTCCCTTGGAAGTTGGTTCCAGATCCTAGCCACCCTGACTGTGAAGTAGTGCTTCCTGATGTCTAGCCTGAACCTACTCTCGGTCAACTTGTGGCCGTTATTCCTAGTTACTCCTGGTAGTGCTTGGGGAAACAGGGGCTCTCTCATTCCCTGGTGGTCCCCCCTAGTAAGTTTATAGACGGGCACCAGATCCTCTCTCAGCCTTCTCTTGTGGAGGCTGAACAGGTTCAGGTCCCGTAGCCTCTCCTCGTAGGGCCTGCCCTGCTGCCCCCTGACCGTGTGAGTGGCCCTCCTCTGGACCCACATCCCTCCTGAAGTGCAGCGCCCAGGCCACCAGATCCTCTCTCAGCCTTCTCTTGTGGAGGCTGAACAGGTTCAGGTCCCGTAGCCTCTCCTCGTAGGGCCTGCCCTGCTGCCCCCTGACCGTGTGAGTGGCCCTCCTCTGGACCCACATCCCTCCTGAAGTGCAGCGCCCAGAACTGGATGCAGTACTCCAACTGCGGCCTGACCAGTGTCGCATAGAGGGGGAGGATCACCTCCTTGGACCTGCTTGTGATGCATCTGTGTATGCATGACAAGGTACGGTTAGCCTTACTGACCGCATCCTCACCTTCATGCCACCTGCCACTCAGCCCCCAGCCCTGACCCTGCCTGCCTCCAGGCAGCTACCCGTGCCCTGCACCAAGCCCCCCAATGGGCTTGAGAGAAGGTCCAGCATTGCCTGCAGAAGCCAGAGCCCCTTGCCTGCCCCTGCTCCTGTGCTGGGTTCCCTGACACCCAATGCTCACTCTCCTTCCATGAGGCCCT